TATTAATCTACAATATCTGATCTTTTTGTTAATTATAAGACTAATATAAGTTTACTTTTTGAATTCACTCTTTAATTTTCTAATTATTCAAATATTTATGGATGCTAATTCATGATCAAAATTAAATAATAAATTTTGATATTAATATTAAATCAGGTAAAAATAAATTTTTATAGATTATATTTCTAATCCTATTTAAGAGAATTATTTAATAATAATATATCTTTATTAATGATATTATATCTTAATATAAAATATTCAAGATTAATTTGAATTCAATTTTATTGTCTAAATAATTTCTTAAATTTTATTATCTTATATCTCATTTCCAAATAAAATTGATAATAAATTATCATAAATTTTATAAGGATTATCAATAATCAATTGCATAAAGATTGGTTTGAAATATATTGTTAATTTATCCTACAGAAATATAGAATTGATATTTTATAAGCATAATTTAAATAATTCTTATTTTGGATTATTTTGTTAAAATAAATCAGCATGGAAATCTTTCTAAAAATCCTATACCTTACTTAATCTAAATTATTATTTAAAATGTGTTTAAGATATTTCATTATATTTATGTTCATCAATTCCTTTTATTAATTAAAATAAAATTTGCTAATATTTAGAGGAATAATGAGTTTAAAATTCTTTAATTTCATCTAAAGAATCTTTGAAATTTAGAATATCATTTTATTTGTTTAAAGGCTAATTTGTTATCAAATCAAATTTTTTCAGTTCTTAAAGTTCTTAAATTATTAATTTTAATAAAAGAAAATCTCTAAAACATTCCAGCTTCTTTTCCTAAAATAAAATGTAAACGAATTTCATTCTAATTAAATTTTACAAAATATATAATCTTCCTGTGACTTAATGATTTACTTTCATTTGTAAACTTTCAACCAATTTATCATTTAAACTTGATTTTTGAGAAAAAAAGTCATCAATTGATATTGATACTTATTCCAACTTAGCTCTATCAATATATTTTACACATTATTCAATATAAATAATTTAATCTAAAGCTTCTTAAAAAGTGAACCTTCTATTTAATTCAGTTTCTTCTTCAAGAGTGCATTTTTATACTAGTTATCCAAATAAAAAGCTATCGTACTTAAATCCAGGAACAAAAATGTATTTAGTTAGGGCATATTTACAATTATCTTAAAAACTACTTTCTCTTTAGTATAATTTTTGTAATGTGAACAATTCAAATAATATGCATCCGATATTAAAAATAGCCATTTTTTCAGTAAATATTATGTTATTACCATCTTGTTATGAATTATGAATAGAATTTATTAATTCTGGAGATAAGCAATGATTATTTTTTATTTCTGGAGTATTTTAATGTAATTTCTCTAAAGAAAACTTATACAGGACACTTTTTTATAACATATTTTATTTTGTTTGACCTATCCTTTCAGACGCTTCTTTGTCATCCTTAATCATTAAAAAACTCTCTTATGTTAAAGTGGGTAAATAAATACTTGAAATATTGTTTTATTTACTTTAATTTTGAAAGCCTATTTAATAACAACAAAATATGTTTGGAATTATGAATTGACTTTTACTATTATAAGAGTAATTTTTAACTTCGTTCACCTATTAAAGAAATATTTTGCTCTGTAAATGTAAATTCATATTGTTTCTCCTGTTTTTCAATTATTAAATCATTTGGAAAGAATACAAAATTTTCACTTTTGATCTTATCTAAATTCTTCATCAAAGCCTCAACCTTTTCATAATCAATTTATTTTAAATACTTGTTCTATCTAACACTTAGTTAAATTTTCTATCTCGTATGAGTCTTAAATCATTATTTTTTATTTAATATTTCAAACCAAATGAATATAAAATACAAAATCAAAGCCCAGCCTCATCATCATCGTCATTTCCACTAAATAATTTAAGTTATTCATAATTTCCTTTTCCCATATAAGATTAGGATTTCTTTGGTGGTTTTTGGCTAAATAAACTAGAATTAATATATTATAATTACTTAATGATTTTATTTTTATAGAGTATGATGAGTACAATAACACCTATAAAGACTAAAATATACCATAAATATGAATTTTATTTTGAAGAATTAATTTATATTTACGAGTTATTAATTTATGGTTTGTTAATTGTAGGTTATTTGAGATCATTAATAGGAATTTCAGTATTATTGAAAGAAGTATTATTGGTTTAAGTATTTGGACATGGTGTCTCTATAGGGGAAAGATCAACACCTCCTTAACAATAATCTCCAGAAACTTTTCTATAACCTTATGTTTTCATATAAGTCTATTTGCAATTAGCAGGTGGTTTTAATAAATCTGGAGTATCATCTTCTTCAAATTTATCTGCAATAGGCACACAAGGTCCTCCTTCTATTTTTCTATAGAAACCAAAATCGCATTCCCAATCATCCTCTATACAAGGGCAAGTTTCTATAAAGAATTTTTTATCAATTTCTTCTTAATTAAAACACTTAGCCTCTCTTTTTCTTCTAATGTACTTAATTTTTCTACCAAATAAGCATTTTCCTGATTCAAAATTTTTAGGAATCCAAAATTCATAATCTGATTCAGGCATTGTTGGATCCCATGCACCAGAGCAGACTCTTTAATGAAGAGTTTAGAAATTTAATGCTACAACATATCCTTTTAATTAATTTTCTTTTGATCTACTCTATCCATAAACAATAAATTTCTATTCCATATTAGAGGGTTCTGTAACTATATTTTAAATTTCAAATTCTCTTTCACCAATTTTAACTTCTTCCCATGAAAATCCTTAATCCCAAGAATAAATGATTTAATTAATTGGTTTATCATCTTATCCCATAACAATTAAACCTCCTCTATCTCCAATTTCATACATATGGGAACCTTTCCTAATTTCAAACCATTCATGGCCTCCATCTCTTGTTAGATATGTGTTAACTTCATGATCTTTCTAAGTTAAATATAAACCAGTATTTCCAACACCAATACTAAGTCCAGGAGCATTTTAACTAGAATAGAGAGGATTTTAATTGGCTTCTGTTCTACCTTTCAAATGTAAAGAGCAATCTCCAGAACATTAAATTTAATCACCCTTAGAATCAATTTCTGGAGCTTTTAATGGATGCCATTAACCTCCTCTATCATAAGATATGAACTAAATAATATTAATTTAATTAATTTTACAGTTTTTTTATATAATTCTAAGGTGGCAGGAGTAATGGAACTTCTAGATTTAGATTTTTCTACTTCTTAATGATCAAAAACATTTGAAACATATACTCCTTCCATACCTAACATTCTCTCAAAATCACAATTTCCAGTATCAAGTGATCTAACATTATGTAATAAAGATAAAGTAAATTTAAATCCTCTAAAATCACTTACATAAACATTAGTTAATCTTTGATTTTCTTCTTTATGAGAAACAGATAAAAATATTTATCCTTCTGAAGTATCAAGAATAGTAAATGTATGTTAATTTAAAGGAATAGGTAATTATACAGGTTATGGTTAGAATTTATCTAAATAAGCAGGAGCAATTAATAATTCATATCCAGTTTCTCCATCTTCACCTGTAACAAGTACAAATATATAATGGGATGTTTAGAAAAATCCTAAAGCATTTTCTTACATTGTTTATATTGTAGCAAAATAGTCATCAGAATAAGAAATAACAGATTTACCTTCTTTCATATGACACACTATTATTCTTTAATCAGGTATTAATTGATATTATAAGAGTTTATCCCATGCTGCATCCCTAACATAATTTAATGCTGATTTCCAAGTTTCACCTCCATCTTCAGTAACATAAATTGATTTTTTATAAAAGTCTTTACAATTAATATCATTTTTTCCACAAGGTTTGTCTTTAAAAGCCATAATCCATTATTGATCCATCTTATTTAATTTAAAATCATAAAGATCTTCTGAATGTGTGAACCTTGTATAAGTTCTACCACAATTCTTAGATTTATAACTAATACCATTTGAACCAAAAAAGAATATAACCCTTGAATCAGCTGGTGAAATATGAATACTTTCGAATTGTAATTATTTATTCTCTGGTTCCATCTTTTCCCAACTCTTTGTTTCATCTAACCATGTTGATCCATAATCTGCTGATCTCCATATTCTTCCTTTGTCTGTAAGAATAAACAACACTTTTCTGCTCTCTTAATGAGTTTATTCAATTGTTTCATCGTCTTTTGTAAATACAACAGATGATCCACACCAATATATATTAGACACTGGAGATTCAAGTTCATTAAATGATACCTTCACTTCATTCTACCCTTATACACATAAAATCAACAGACCTAGAATTATTATCATTTCTTAAATAATAACACGTAAATTAATTAATCTATAAATCAAAATAATTCTCATTCATATATATTTTCTATTAATGAATTAAAATTATTTCTTAATCTATACTATCTTAACAAAGAACTTAGCAAAACAAATTCAAACTCTCAAAAATAACTTAATAGCAAACCTTAAAAAAATCTAGACATTCAATAATTTATAAATTTAAATTTATTCAATATATAAATATTGATTTCACATAATCCAATCAATTATATTAAATAAATAATATATAGATATAAGAAATATTAAATTTATTAAGATTATCAATATTATTTAGTAAAGTGATCATTTTTAACTATAAAAATCTATTTTTCTATTTACTACAATCAAATAAACCAATAATATTCTTATATTTAAATAGGCTAATCAACACAAATTAATTATTATTGATAATTAATGTAAATGAATTCAATTTTTAATTTATTGATACTTAATCTATGGAATACTAGTGTTTTTATCAATAAAATGCTAAGTTGATTATCTTATATATTTGAAGTTCTCCACATATCTCTACATTTATCACCATTCTTAACAATAAAAATGAAGTTTATTCATAAATTGACCAATTCTATCTCAAACTGAAATATATGATTTTTAGGATAACATTAATTAATTTAGTAATTAATAATGTCCTAAAGGAAAAATAAAACAGAAGCAACACCTACTAGAGTTGCTTTGGTTTGTTTGAAGACAACTTAGAATAATATCTAAATCAATAATCAATCCTTATTAAAAGTTTTCTCCAAGCATGGCTCTATTTCAAAAGTATTCCAAAATTGTGATATAATATAATAGATTTTAATATTCGAAAGAGGTTAGCTTTAAACAAAAGTATTTATTGAATATGATGAAGTTGATTCTGCTATTGATGCAATAAAGTATAGATTCAATCTTATATTGTAGTTCTCTTAATAATACAAAAATTTTAAATTAAATTTCGTGCAATGTTTATCATTCGAGATTGAAATAACTAAAACTTGATACTGTTCCATATACTAAAGGTCTTGATTTTACTAACTCTCCTTCTAATAATGCCGATTTGATAGAGCCAAATGAGGAATAATAAGAAATTACCAGAATCAATGAATGGTAAGATTTCTAATTTGATAATAATTCAACGGATGAAGTATCTGATGAAGAAGAACCTTAGTTTTCAGAAGAAAAAATGATAGATATTCTAACTAGACTCAATTAAATAGATGATGAAATTAATAAAACAATTGAAACTAAGATTGTTACTGCTTTGGACAAGTTACAATAAAATACAATGTGTATTTAAGTATTAATCACTTATGATGTATTAAATGATTTGAATTTTGTTTTCAAAATATTTTGTTTCTTTGGATAAATTGTAAAAATTTAATATAATATTTAGATGTATTTGAAATAAAGCTAAATTTATATTTATATCAAATATGGATCCAATCAAGAATGCTAAAAAGCATTTTAATTACTTAAAGATTATTTGGACATAAAACTTTAATACAATTTTGAAAATGTAAATGGTAAATTAATTTAACCAAATTGCATAAATATTTAAAAATCTTAGAAATCCATAGATGATTAAGTAGCCATCTAAGAATTGTTTTAATCACATAAAATAATTAAATAGTAAAACAACAATTTAATAAAAATCAATCAATGAAACGAATGAAATATTCAAAATTTAGTATATCTCTCTTATATAAATTCATTAATACAAATAATCAATGATTTAATATTCTTTAAATAATATCAACCATTCAACTTTTTAGATAATTCATATAATAGTTTTATAGTCTATTAAAATGTTCAGAAAACTAGTTAAAAATATAATGTTAATTCAACAATAGAGAGGAAAATTTATGTTTATATTCTCTCTATCTGCTTTATTAATAGTTTTATAAACAAATTAAATTGCATATCATGAATTCTAATATAAAATTAAATTTTGATACTTATTATTTGTTTAAATAGAATTTTTCAAATGATTTGATTATTTATTCATAATGTTTAAAAAAGGATTTTTTAATTTAATTGATCTTCTAAAAAATCTAAAAAGAATATATTTTATAAATTAAGATTTCTGAGATTTATAAGAGTATTCAAAAACATTTAATATACATTTAAGTTTATGATTATATTTATATAATATATATTTATTCAATACTCCAATAAGTATTTTTCAATTGAATTAGGAAATAAGATCAAATCCAAGATAATTTGAATTTATTATCTAAAATATATTCAATTGATGTCTAAATACTTATACTAAGTTAATTAACAAGAATATTATAAATTTATGTTGAAAATTTAATAATAATAATAGTGTATAACAAATAAAAAGAGCTTCATTCACCCAGAATTTTAAAATAAAGTTTATGCAAATAGGTAATACAGAAAATAAAAGATAATTTAAAAGAATAATATCAGGCTTAACAATTCATGTAAAAAATTATCATTTAAAAATCCATTATTTGAGATAAGTGAATTAAACAAGAAGTTACTTCCTAATTTTAAAATCAAAATAAGTGAAACCACACGTTCTTAACCAAGTTTTAGAATATCAATCCTTAGTAAAGAAACTACAAGAGTATTAAGATTAGTTGGATAATATAATTGATAATAACATAATATATATTCATAAACTTTTAGATATAATTTTTATTTTGATGATATTATAAATGATAAATAATTAAGACATATATATATCTTATAATAAAATAACTATAATTATAAGAATAGATAAATTGTAATAGTTTTTAATGATAAGAAACTTGCAAATATAATTTGAAATCAATTGAGAATTACTTATGAAGAATAACTTTATATTATATTAAAAAGTTACTTAAAATGTTAATCTAATGAAATTTTCTTATATTTATTTTTAATAATCTATATCATATCATTATAAGATGATGAATAATAAAGAAATGAAGAATAAAAAGTGTGGAGAGACTGTTAAATTATAAAAAAGCTATTTTTAAATAAAAACTCAATAAAATGGTAAAATAAATCTAAATATTATAGTAGCTGAGCTTTATCAAGTGTAATTTATTTAAAGTTATCTTACTTTTTTAGTTTATTGTGTTTGAAAATTAAACAAAATAGATATTAGAAGCTACAATATTAGGATATCTAATTTTAAGTAAAATTAAGTTTAATTTTTAGAATTAGGTTATGATTGAGTTGGAATGTGTTAAATTATTTAGTTATATTAGTTTTAAGGATTAAATAATTGAAATATTAGTGAGGATAGGGTTTAATTGAGATAAGAATCTAATGATAAAAAAGAAGTGTATTATTAGTTGATATTATTTTTCATTAATAATATAAATAAGAATCATTTGATGTGTTTACTTCCCAACCAGAAATTGATGCTTTTTACCTTTAAATAGGTGGCAATATTTATTTCTTGGGTTATTCAATAATTCTTGGTGAGCGAATAGAAAGAGATCGTTCACTTTATAATTAAATGGTTTTTGATGAAATAGAAATGGGCAATTTAATTTTTTTGGATTGTTGTACTGGTCTTTTGTATTTCACCTTTTTGATTATTTCATCAAAAAATTGTAATTGTTCTTGTATTCTGATTCTTTTGTATAGATTAGAAATGTCATTCATTGGTGGTGCTAAGGGATACTAAGTTATAAATCTTCTGCTCATTATATGAATATATTTAATAACAAAATAAAAACATCATTACTTTCAAATTCCAAATTATTTCATAAATAGATTGAAGTTTTTTTTAAATTAGTCTTCATTTTATTGTTTGATTCTTAGATCTAAATCTTATGTTAAAATCTATAATTATGAAGGATCTAATTATTAATCAGATCTCAGTAAGACTTTGCTTAAAATTGAAACAAAAACTTATTAAAAAGTGCACATAATAGCAAAAATCTATCTTGTTATTTTGATGTTTGTTTATTATGAACATTAACCTTTTATCAAACACAATAATAATTCTTACAAAACAAGTTCAATAATACCATCTAATGGTTAAACAAATGATTATAATATGCCCATTTAAGTCAATTACTATTCTTCTGATACAAATTCTAAAATTGATAAAACTATATCTGTTGTATGATCCAAAGTAACTTTGTCTAATGGTTAATGATATGTAGATATAGTTGAAGTCTTATATTCTTGTGATAATTAACGTAATAAGTGTTTTTATAAACTTTCAATAATAATCATTAAAGTAGTCAATGATTGTGGATTCAATTCAAATAATTATAATTATGATGAACTCACTACTTACAATACTTATACTACTTATAAACAAGTTTTGTTGTACATCTAATATAATATATATATATATAAATACAATAATATAATTAGAGATTTTTGATGTAATATCTAATGCAATTATAAGTAAGTCTAAATATTTTCTATCAGCAAATAGTAATTAACATGTTTAAGAAATATATTTACCTTTTAAAATATTATTCATAATTTTAAATATTAATCCTACTAATCTACAAATCTCTGCTGAAAATTCCTATTTTACTTTTTCATCTTATATAGCATTTATTAAATGTTAAAGATAACTTGCTAAAATACCTTGAAATGTTCTGACTAATTCAATTTAAACAACAGAAGAACTATGATATTAATATCTTAAACTTTTATTCTCAGTTATTGCAACCATTAATTTTAAACATAATTTACACATTTAAAATTATTAAGGATTATCAATTAAAATAAATCTTGTCAATTCAGCTATTTTTAATAAATGTTATTTAATAAGAAGTCTAAATATTTTGCTAGTATCTACATGTCTAAAATAACCAAGCATTTCATATAAATATATTAAAATTGATTATTATGTTGGTTGTATCGTCAAAAATTAATTTAATTAAATTATTGATTCAATATAATTCTCATAGGCTGTGTCAAATAATAATATTGATAAGATTTCAGAGGCTAAAGTTCTACAACTTAAAAATGTATCCTTCTATAATGCAGTATTTTTTAGATTTAATAAAACACTTTTAATTTATGTTACAACATTTGAACTTTAAAAGGCTTCATTATATAAATGATGTTTTAATCGAACAATTGTTTCTTTCATAATTACTAAAGCATATTCTATTATTTCTTTGTTTTCAATTTATAATTATAAAATTATGAATTATAATAATTGATTAGTTGCTTATTATGGTTAAATTTGAATTGGTTTAATGAAATTATCAAAAAATGCTTTGTTAGACCTTTATCTACCAATTGATTCATCTGATTCACTAAGAGCAAATTAAAATAAATTATCTGCTAATGACATTGCAGACATAATAACTAAGGGAGGTAAATTATGAGTAGAAACTTATAGAAAATTTAATGAATCTTTAATTACAGTTTATATCATTTATACTATTTCTTCATTGTTTTTTTCTAAAATTTATGGATTTATTACAATATAATTTATTAAACTTAATTCAATAATGAATTTTTCTTAATCTTAAGCTGCATTTTTAAAAGAATGATAAATTATTTTTATATGAGTTGTTAAATCTATAGATAAAATTGGAAAAAGATTTTCAAAAAATTCTTTTAAAGTATGTTTCAATTTTTTATGATTTTAAGGTGTGTAACCTTAAAAAAAGGAATTTTGAGAATTCAATAATAAATGAATAATAGATTTACTTATTTCAGATATTGATTTTGAGATTGATTATTTAAATGTAATATCCAATTTAAAATCAGTTATAAATTTGACTAATTTCTTCATTAATTCTATCATTTAATACATATGAGGATCTTTAATTTTCATTTATTTTTGTAAAATTTAAATACAAAATGTTTATAAACAATATAACCATTATTAACTAAATGTAAAATCAAATCTAATCTATCTTAAACCAAAACAATTATTTAATTTAGTATTTAATTCAAGAATATCACTTATTATTTCTTCATTAGCTTATTATACTTTCTCAAAAAGATAAATGCAACCTTAATACATTTCTTTAGCAAATAATCTTTTTTTAATTTTCTCATTAAAAATTCTCTTCTTAGATGAAGCCATTCTTTTTAATGATTTTAATGCTAACAAAGCTAAAGATGAATCAGTTGTACTATATGATGCTACAATCTTAAATAACAATTCAACCAATTACCTATCATTAAAAAATTCAGCAAATCTTTCTGGAAACTATGTAAATAATATATTAATTTACACTAACGTTATTTTAATCATTAGGATCAAAATCAGATTCTAATTCAAAGTAACTAACATTAAAATTGAACATTAAAATATCTCTAAGTGATGCTAAAGCTGGTTTATAGAGATTTGATGCACATTATTTTAAAACTGTACAAACTGTAGACATAAAATCTAAAATATCACTACTTTAAAATTAAAACATAATTTTCCTATATGATACATAAGAATCATATGATGAATAAAGTTGTAAATTTTATAATACATGTTAAACTAATTTCAAACCTATAGAAAGAAGGTAAGTTTGATTCCCTTAAAAAAAAGAGTTAAAAACTAACTTGAACTTTGAGAATTGATTACAACTTACCATCATTATTTGCTAAATTAACAAACCCACCAAATTACAGATTGAATTTTATACATGATTTTCTTATTGTTTTTAAAGACTTGTACAAAATAATGAAACTAATGTTTCATACACTCTACATTTTTTAGATAACACATCATTTTCTTCCAAATTTTAGAATTATCCCACTATTTATTACCCTTCTGATAAACTACGATCAGAAGATTATAATCCTTTGAAAGACCTTTCAGAAACTACAATTTTAGCTATATATTCTGAAATCACAAACAAAGTTGAACCTGACTGAGTTTATTGTATAATCTGACATAAAAAATCAATGTTTCTTATATCTTCGATGAACTAATAAATTTATTATTCAGCTAATTATTTACTCTATAAACTTAAAAACAGTAATTACTTCCAATGTTCTTGAGAAACAGCAGTCATTGCATAACGAATCAAAATGTACTAAATTCATTTCAATTTAAATTATCAATAATTTTATTAAATAATACTTCTATGAAAACACATATTTTCAAATTACTATATTTATTAAACTAAATCAATTATAATACAAAATTATTCTTATTAATAGAAATATATTTCATATGTAAATACATTATAAAAATTAATATTAATTAAAGTTATCGAAATTTGTTCAATTAATATATATCAAATAGTAAAAAATATTTAAGTATATATTTTAATTATCATATTTTAAAATTTCCGTAATTTTAATTATTTAAATCAACCAAGTATTATATTAATATTATTATTTATTTTATAAATATAATTTATTATATTTGATTTATTATGTTCCAAACTTTTGATTAAAAAGAAGCAAAGTGTAAATATCACTAAAAAATAATTTAATTTTTAAATATTAAACCAAATCAACAAATAGGAAATAGGGCTTGGTGTGAAGATTGTAAAATGGATTAACCAGTTAATTTAAATAATGGGAAAATAATCTTGAATTAAATTGATTACTTCATTAACAATTAAATTGAGCAAAGTACAAGTGATATAGTTCGAATGATGATTTCTGAAATAGATCATATAGAAAGGGAATTTAAATAATTATTATATGATATGAGAAAAAATGTAAATGTAATAAAAAGAACCTATATACAAAATCCATTTGAAAAATATCAGAATTTGTCTGTTTATACCACTTCCAATTATCAAGAACTAGCTGAACTTATTAAAGACCATTATTCATAGTAAGGTGAGTGTGTATTAACGAACCAATTACAATAAAGTATTAATAATTCTTTAGAGCAATATCAAAATTATCTTTTAGATATTCAAAGTGTAAGAAAATATATTTCATAAGTTCAAAATTCTATTTCCTAACCTGAATAATTTGTTTAACTTTAAATATGTTAAGAGATTTGTTAGATTGAATGCCATAAAGACACAACATTCCAAACTTTACTTGAATCTTTTGAACTTAATTAAGGAAATGATGAAATAAAGTACTATAACTAAAACAATGAAATTGAAAGTTTACATTTTACTTTAAGATAAGCAGGATTTTAATAGTAATTCCCATTAATAATCAAAAGATAAAATTGATATATTATAATTTGTTAAAAAGCATAATTATTATATCTACAAGTATTCTCAAAGAAATTATCATGTTTTTGATGTTCAAAATAGTTTTTTAATCAATAGAATAATATTTTTGTTATTTAATTATATCCATTTTTATAATATAAAATTAAATTTTTCAATAAAAATTAGAAATATAATATTTTAATTTATATAATTAACATATAATACAGAATATTATTTATTATATATTATTTAAACTAAATCAGTCTTAACTTTAAGGAGAATTTTCATATATTTAATCAGTTGGTACATTTTTTCTATTAATTGATATGATCTATTAATGGTTTTATGGCTATTATGGTTATTCTTATTAATTTTCACAAATAATCTATGGACTAAAAGATTCAACAAATTTTAAAAATAATATATTTTCTATATGCTCATTTAATTCAGTATTGGAAACATTTTTTTTGGTATCCTTTTTGATAATAAATCTTTATACTATAAATTTTGATTGTTCTGGCTATTATAATTAATGATACATAAATTCACATATATCCTAATTTGTCTTTAATTAATCTTCAGGAATATGTATATTTTACAACATTTACTCTTCCCATAATTTTTGTTAACCTAAATATTATTTTATTCATAATTACTTTCTAATCCATAGTGATAATTTTCTTGTTCTAAAACTTATGGTACTTAGGCAACAATTTTTTGTTTGAATTACACAGGTTTTTTTTTGTTTAACTATATAAAAAATTCCATATTTGAGTTAATTTTTGTATTCATTGATTATTTATATTAATAGCTTTATATTTATTCTTATATTATTATTTTATATACATGAATTATTAATTAATAATAATATTACTCATAATGTTTCATAATCATCATCATAATCCTCATCATCTAAATCAATTTCTTTATCATAAACATTAATTATTTCTTTTATTGGTTGAATAGTAGCTGTATTTTATGGTTCAATTACTTCTTCTTTTTTTTCATCTTCTTTTTTAAAAAATCTTTCATCTTTAAATTATATCAAATATATACTCAATATTTCTACTATAGATCTTTCTGTTTTTTTCTTTAATTTATCTAATTTAGGTTAGATTGCTCTTTTTAAATCTATATTTGCTTTTTTTGGTATTATATTTAATGTTCCTTATTCGTCTGTTAATATTTATGATACCATTTCTTATACTTTTTGCTTTTTAAATAAAAATTAATACTTTATAATGCATTTCAATATTTTTAATATTTCTGGTGATTTCTTGCTCTTCTTTTCCAAAACATTTACTTTTTGGAAAATAATGCAAAAACTTCAATTCAGAATGCCAATCTTTTGTTTATTTCTCTGGCATTATTTATTGACTTGAATTTAGATTATCAGGAAAATCTAAAATCATTTTAATATAATTAATGAGCTTAATATTAAAGCATCATCTAATATTACCGAATTTTAAACTTAATGAAACTATACCTTTCAAAAATTAAAAATCTAACTCAATAACAACTTTGAGATCATAACAAAAAACTTAAAAAAATCAAAAATTGAGTCTTGATAAACATTAACCAACTGTAGAAATGTAAGCAAATAAAACTGATATTACTTTTCCTGTTATAAATAAGACATCTCCAAAAGAAACAACTTATAAATAGAACTTAACAATAAGAACAGCATACACTGATGATAAAACAATTAAAGATTATTTAGATCATTTGAATACATTAAGATCTTAGAAAAATACTTAAAAACAAAATAAATTTAAGAAGGTCAGAACTGAAACTGAAATTGTATAATATGGAGATGTTAAGTTTAAAAAAGTAAAAGAAAGCTCTAACAAAAAATCTCTTGCTTTAGTATCAAATATAAGAAATCCTCAATCTCAATCCTATATCAAATTTAGTTAATAAATTTTTGCACTTGTCTATAGTTTAGATAATCTTAAAGTATGATTTCATATTTTATTAAAGAAATACATTAACAATGAAAGAAAACTATTTTAGGTAATTAAGTAACTTATTGGATTAAAAAAAAGTCTTAAGAAAATAATACTTAAACCAAATGGAGAAGAATTAGTAGAATTCTCTGAAATTAGTAAATTATGTTGTGTAAGAGAGATATAATATATAAATGGAGAATAGAAAATTGTTGATAAATTTGACTTATCTCTTTATGATGATCTTGTGTATTTAACAGATACAATAGAGAATCTTCTATTATCAAATGAAATACATTCGATCAATAGGATTAGTGATAATGTAATTATTTTTATTATTTAAATAGATCTAAAAGGAAACTGAATAAATACTTAAAATATAACATTCTATGAATATGCCTAATGAAGAATAAAAATTATCAGTTCAAACTATGTCTATGCAAAGATTTAAAATTCATGATGAAATTGATACTATAGAATAAAAATTGGGACCATTATAATTAATATCAAGATAAGTCAGATAAACATCAATGGTATTGAGTAGAATTATAAGCAGTTTAAATGAATGAGTAATAATTTTTCAATTTGCAAATAAATGATCTTTTAAAAATTTTAGAAATCTTTCTGCATAATCTCTTGGAGGTATAGCTGATATTGTAGGTCCATATATGACTCTTTTTGATAAAAATTCTAGTTTCTTTTTTGTACTAAAATTTGTTAAAATATCAATAATTCCTATATATAATGTGTATTAATTATCAACAGTTACCATCTTACTAAAATTATCAAATTAAGGATTTTCTGAATACACAGAAGATTCATTATCTAATTATTTGTTTCCTTTAGCATGTAAACCTAATAAAAGACTATAATCAATAATATTATTATCTTCAAAAAATTTACAATCTTTTTCTAATTAATTAAAGAATAACATTGATTTATTCTTATTGATATTCAATTTAATATTCTTTTCTTTATCTTCTAAGAAATTCAAATCTTTTCTGGCAACAGTTGGATCACTTAATATAAATATATATTTATTACTTATCAATAGTATATCTACCATAAGTAGAACCTTTTAAATCATATCTTACATTAATTTCTTGATTAGTTGAAAATACATTACTCATAATTACAAAATAAATAACTTTTTCTCTTAGCATAGTTTAATATTTTATTCCAATTTTATGCATTCCAAATAATCTTATTATTTAAATATTTTATATTACTTTATAATAAGTGTTTCTGGATAGTTTTTGAGATGATAATAATAATTTCTCATTATTTATTTTAAAAATCTGAATTCTTAATGATGAATAGTTTTCAATGTGAATTGTCCATCTGCAGTATAATAGAAAAAACTTCCACTTTTTCCTGTTGATGTTAATTCTTATAAACAAGATAAATCTCCTTTTATTAATGATTATAAAATAGATTCTGGTCCAATACTTTTAAGATATTAATGATTATCTATTCCATATATAGTTCTAATACTATTGAATACTCGTGGAGCATAATCAAAAAATTAACATACTTTAAAAGAACTTTTATCACCTTATGCTCTTCTTGGAAGAAGTTCAAAATAATATTTTAATTTAAAATCTTTTGGACCTACTTCATAATCATCAGCTATATTAATACTGCTTACTGCCATTTAAATACCTATCATCATATTTAAAACTAAATTAAAGTTTTCATGTCCAAATGAAACACTGATTTTAGGTTTTTTAGTTGGTTTTTAATTGTTAATAGATTATTACTTTCTTGGTATATTAATAATTGTATGTAATCTTTATTCATTAATTTAATCTAATAGTTCCATTTTTTATTATTTAATTTAGTTTTAATCTATTAATTCTCTTAATCTTTATACTTCTTTACTAATATCTTCTACACATGTAATCATAGATTTATATTTTTCTTTAAGTTAATCAGTACTCATTTAATCTATAAATAAATTAAATTGATTTTTCTCATTTTCACTTTCTAAACTTTTTTCTGTTTAATAAAATTAATCTTCTTCTTTAGGATCTTAATTATCTCCTTCAATTTAATTTTATGGAATCTATTAAAATAATGCTTTCAATTATTTTTTAGGTTTTTATTATGTATAAAATGAGAAATCTTAATTTTAATCATTTTTTAAATGTTCAATTGATAATTCATTACAATGATTATAATTGATAGATGGAAATTGTTCTGAAGCAAAGAATTTATTAATTCCTAAATCATTTTTATAATTATTATTATTTTAAGTTTCTTCACTTTCATATTTAAATAGACTAACAATAGGAGAATGAAGATTATCAACTTAACTATTTCTTTATTTTTATTCTTATTCAACAGTACCTTAAACAAAATGAGGAAGTTCTTTTTCTTATTTTTTATTGTCTTATTTCATATATTCTAATAATTGATCTATTTTTTTTTCTATATTCTAAATATATCTCTATTGCTGATATATACTAAAATCTATAGTTTCAAGAGTAACACCTCTTCTAGCAAAGTCAAATATTTCTAATAGTGCAGGATCAGCAACTACAGAATCTTGATATTATTATAATGTAACTCTGTCTGCTTTATCAACATCCATAGTAGAGAATATTAATTTAATTCTTTGATCTATCTATTTCTTGGTTTCGCTTGTTAGATTTTATCCAGTCATGGCTATCCAACTATTAATCACTCCTTACATTGTATCATTAAATTCAGCCGATGTAAAGCTTCCAACCTTATTCTTATCAATCAATTTAAAACTTATTTCTGCTTTTTCTCTGGCATCTCCATGACTCACTTTATCAAAATAAAGAGCAAAATCTTCAAATCTAATCTAAATAGATTTCATTTAAATTCATACTTTACCATCCTTATCATCATCCATAATATGGAAAATCCTATCTGATAAATGTAACATTGTTCCCATACCAAGTAAACCAAGATTATCTCTAAATTGAAATTTAGTTACAAAATTAGAACCCTATGACATTCTAGCAAATCTAGTTTTTAATTCTATCAATTCAGTTTCTGTAAGTCTAGTAAGTTTTCCTAATTTATTAATTTCTTCTCTTTATGTATTAGTTTTTTATTTCCTTGAACAACACATTAATTTAATATAATAATTATAAATAATGAGTAGAGTTTCATAATTTATTTTTTTCATAACAATTCATCTTCCTATAATCAGATTAAAATAAATTTATATTACTTTATCAATTATATCTAAATATTTAGAATAGTTATATAATTAATAAATGATTTTATAGAATACTCATTATTTAAACAATTGTTTGACTTTTAGATATATGAAATATTCTATCATTATTCTCCTAATAAAATGACTTTAAAAATTAAAACTGAATTAATAATCAGTAAATGTTAATTATTCTTATTATGTAAAATATTTACTATGTTAAATCATCTCTATCAATAATAAAATAAAATAAAAACTGATAAAATGTAATTATATATTAATCTTTTTAGTTCTAAATCGAAATTTATTTATATAATATCTTATAATAAAATATTTGGATGTTCTGCTATAAATATAAGTTCCTTTCATCCTAGAAATACAATATTTTTATGTTAAAAGATGAGATTCACTTATAGCATGTATTTCTCAATATTATGTAGGAAAATGAAATTGAAATAATAAAACTTAACTCCTTCCAGCCTAGATTTAAATGGTCAAAATGCGACATTTCTGACATTGGATAATTTGAGTTATTCGATAATTAAAAGAGCAGAATCTATAAGATAGATCCCTCTATGGGATTGTTGTTAAAGGAATTTTTAAATGGAAAAGTATGCTTCTAAGGAATCAATAATCATTTCAAAATAGCAAAAATCATCTCAAACGGAAATTCTAGTTCTGTATACTATAGTTCTATATTATAGATTGTAAGAATGAGACATCTTCAAAATGAAGAATTGGTCACCTGTAAAATTTATAAATAAGGCAGATCAGAATTAGAATAAGTATTCAATCTAGACATTAATAGGAATTTAGAAATGAAGTCTTAGCTCTCTAGTTATTAAAACATAAGAATTTACCAAAAATTAGAGAATATTATATAGAAGCCAATCATAATTATATTATTTATGATCTCTTTGAAGGACATCCACTTGATATTTGTATAAAGAATAATATTCTTGATGATCAATAGATGATTCATATTATGAAGGTATTGTAGATAATTATATAATAAAGGAATTATTAAAAGTTGTTTAATTTATGAAAATGGAAGGATACTCTCATTAAAATATAAAATTAGAAAACATTTATTATTATTCGTTGATGAGTCAAATAACTCTAATCGACTTTGGAAAATCTTTGTTCAAAAATCAATCAGTTACAGCTGGTGATTCTTACTTCTCAAAAACAACTAAAGATAATTCAGAATTAAATACTTAAACTTGTCGAAATACATATCCAGATAAAGACTATTTTGACTGTGGCTTAATATTTATATAAATGTATTTATATATTTAGAAGTAGGATTACTAAAAAAATAGTTAATTATAAAGATATCCATTATTCAGATGATAATAATATAATAATGGGTTTAATTACAGAAATTCATAACCAAAAAATTTCATCTTTCCTTATGAAATTGTTATCATAAAATAAAGGCTCAGATAAATATAACTTTTCAGAAAATCTATTAACAGAAATCGATGATCTTAATTTCGAAATAACTAATTACACAAACAAATGATTATATATTATATATGTATTAATAGAGTTTAATGATAATTTATTATTTTAGTTTTATAAGTTTAATTAGAATTTATTTAATCACACAAATCGAAGATTAACTTTAATAAATTAATATCTTAATTAAAAAAACAGAACTTTTAGAAAAACATTGAAAAACTTATATAACTATAAAGTCAATTTAATGATGGAATTATAAATCTAGAAGAAAGTAAAGAATATGAATAAGTAAATAATAATTAAGAATTAGATTTTATAATGAAATATATTCAAGAAATTAGCTACTATATTGATATTAATTAAGTTTATAGAGCTATGTAATATTTGATAAAATGATAAAATGATAAAATGATAAAAATTGAGAAAGACATATGTAAATCATCCAATAATACAGATAGCATTTTGAGACTCTGTAATTCTTATGCAAAAATAGGTAATTAAAGAATTCACATTAACAAAGGAAGATGTTTTTACAATTGCTGCTATTATGAATAGACTTTCAAATTTTTAAATTATGCTCAATAATTACTCATTTAACATAATCTCACTAATATAGGAGTTTATACATTAACTTTAACATGATTTGGCAAAATAAATATTATTTCAAAGTATCAAAATTAGGGAAGAACTATATTTCAAGTAATTCAATAGTAAAATTCATAAATATATTAGTAAGTGGATGATTCATTACATGTATCAGCTTAATTGTTCTCGGATCAAGGCAAAATTGAAAATGCTATTTAATCAATTGATTAAACCATATCTATATGGATATATGTATTGGGTTATGAACATATTAAAACAGCTAAATCTATTTATTTGAAAGGAAATTTGTATCTAGAAGTAAAATTACTCCAGAAAGTAATTATTATTATGAAAGTCTAGATTTAGAGTAAGCAGAAAAATTAATTATTTAAAGTTTGGAAATAGATATTAAAATTATGGGTGATTTCTCATAAGATGTTGCTGATTGTTATCATTCATTTGGAAAGATTAAAACCTATAATAAGAATACGAATGAATTTGAAGAATATTTTATAAAATCATAACAAATATTTTAAGAATTGTATGACTAAAGTCATGCAAACATTGCAATTATATTAAATAATTTTGGAAGATCATATTAAGATAGAAAATAGTATGAAAGAGCAATTAAATGTTTTTAATAATTAATAAAAATACATACTTAATTATGTTGAGAAATTCATTAATTTAGCAAACAAATTAAGAAACTATGCTGATTGTCATAAGAAATTAGGTAGATTCAAATAAGCTTTCAATGATTATTGAAAATCTTTGGAGATCTATAAAGTATATTATGAATATCTAATTTAGAAAATGGAAATCTATCAAAAATAAGTTAATTCAATACAAAATTAAATGATATAAATCTCCTAGAAATTTTTGGAAGATTGATCTCATACTCTTTTTATATAAAAGACAACTAAACAATTTAGTCATCAATTATATTAACTAAAATTATATATAATTAAATCTATACCCCGTTCATTTTATATTCATTAATTTGGATAATAAAATTACAGCATTTATATTATAAGTAACTTTAAATTATGAAGATATATAATAAATTCATTGTTGATGAAAGCTTTATTATTATTGAACAAGTGACTTTCTCTTTGAATTCTATTTTACAATTTACTAAACTTAACTGTTCTTTCTTAATTGATCTCTTTTTACAAACTCATCAACTTTTCTGAATTATACCCAAGCCTTTCCTTCCATTAAATTATCTAGCTATTTTTATTGTTACACAAAATACTTCTTCATAGATTTCTTTATCAGTATAACCACTTTTTTTAACAATCTCCCAAAATGCCATCCATTCATCTTCTGATATTTATCCACTCTTATCAAAATCAACAGCATTAAATAAAGCTTAAGTATTAACTTTGGCAAAGTTGGTTTTCCAAAATTTTTAAGTTTCATCTTTATCTATAGAACCTGAATTATTTATGTCAATTCTTCGAAATATTTCTAAAGCTTTAGCTCTAAGTTTTTCATTAAGACCTGTTGAATTCTTTTATGCTCCACACCCCATTTATGATATAATTAAATAAATAAATCAATTTCATAATGAAATTTATTTGCAGTAATAATATTAGATAATAAACATTAGTATTTAAATTATTATTGCCCTAAGTGATTCACAAATTTAATTAATTAAAACAATAGAATTAAACTATTTAACATATAAAATCAAAAAGCAGCTTCACTTTTTCTGATGATTTAACTTACACTTCTTTATCTAACTTCTCTAGCAAAAACTAGTTTTTCTTTTTTCCTATTTTTACTAATTAAAAAGTCGATATTAAAGTTAGGATAATAATTAACAAAATTATCAATTTTATCAATTGTATATGCTAAAATAATATAATGATAAATTTACATTCAATAATAATCTAATTCTCACTATAAAATGCTTCAAATTAGATTTTCTTATTTATTATTGAATTATATTCATCTAATTCTGCTTATTCTGGCTATTTAGTTTTGATAATTCTAATCTTTTGTTTTTTATTTCTTTAAAATTAGTAATTTCTATTTTATTATATATCTATAAAATTATATAAACAAATACTTAATGTTAATTTTTTAAGTTTCTTTTCAATAATGCTTTTTCTAACACTTTTGATAATTTCTTTACCTATACTCAAATGGGTTAATGAACAATCTATACTCATATGATCAGTAGAACCACAAGTGAAACATTCTATACCTAATTCATAATATGCATTATTGAATATGATTTCATCTCTTAAAAAACAGTAACGTTAATGATCTAATGGAAATAACTTTAATTTATCCATAAAATCTGTACGTGATAATCTTACAACTTATGAATATTTTTTAGATCTGGCTGATGCTTTTCTTTATAATCCTGTTACAAAGGCATAATCACCAAATCTTGCCCCTGATTTTAAATGAGCCATAATTACTTCTTATTTTTCAGTTTCAGGAACATTTACAAATATTTCAATATGTCCAATTTATACAAAATATAAGGCATTATCATCTCTATTAGCATCACCATCTAAAAATATATTTTCTTTTTTAGAATAATCAACTTCTTCCATAACTTAACTTAATTCTCTCATTAAATCATCTGAAAAATTATTTGTAATCCAAGGGACTTAATATAAATATGGTTAATAAGCTTCATACATTAATCTATTTTTTAATTAAGGAGCCAATTTTTAAAAAACTTAATCTTCTAAATATTAATCTCTATTTCTTTTTTCTTTAAAATAATGTTCTAAAAAATTTCTTATTTCCTTTTCTGTTTTCTCTGAAACATTTTTGGATCTCATAAATTTAGTTATAGCAACTATTTCTTTATTATATTTTCTTTTTTCATCAAAATAATCAACAAATGTTTATTATATGTTGTTAACATTAAATGCAACTAAAAATACAGCTGCAATCATAGCAACTTCAGCAACAATAATTTCAAATTCATTCATTGGTGTAATATCACCATAAGCAACAGTTGTTAAAGTTGCAAATGCCCAATATGTTGATAATATGTATCTTTTTGTCCAATCATAATATAAAATAGTTCCAAAATTACCACTTGAAAAGGTTAACCAAGAATTAGTATATTTACCTTCATCTGGATTATCATAATGATTTAACATATACATTCCAGTTCCAAAAAATATACAACCAAAGAAATGTGTCAAATATACAATCTCAATTATCATTCTTACTATCATATATATACTTTTCCATTTTGGATACACTTATAATTTATCTTAATATCTTTAATCAATTTCATAAACAGGATACATTTTTAATAAAAATAGTAAATGAAATGTATAAACATTTGCCATTGTATATGAAAATGTAGTTATTAAAATTTCTATTAATGGTACAAAATCAAATGTAAATGAACCCATTAAATAATGTAAAGCTACTCTACGTCTATTTTTTACCAAGGCTCCATACTTATAAAATGCCACATGAAATTCTATGAAGATATCCATCATGAAAATCAACTATATGATGTTTATTTTAATATTTGTACAATCACTACACTTCTAAAGAATATATATGTTGCACTATGGAACGTATAATAGAAGTCATCTCCAAAAAATATTATTAATGGAACCTCTATAAATACTATAAATGTTATTATCAACACAGGAATTTTCCAATATGAGAGAAAAGAACTTTATGGATCAATTATTGGCATCAAATTTACATATGTTCTTTTTAATTAAGTTAATAATTATATTTCTCTATTAATTTAGTATGATGTTTTAAATTATGTTATTGTTTAAGTATTGAATTGTTTACGAACAGTCTATCAATTATTAACTTTAATTACGTCTTTCCAATTTTAAGTACATACTGCTGCTTTATCTATGGCTGCTAAATCTCCTATTAATTGGATATGCTAAGTCATAGTATAAGCATATTCTTCACTCAAAGGAACAATCTGAATAGGCTTTGGCTTTAATGGCATCATTTCAATTTGATTTTAAGAACCTTACAACAAAGTTTTCTTAAGGGAAACAGAAGAATACTCTGATAATTCATTAACAATTAAGAGATCTTAATTGTTTTTTTATCTGCTATCCCACATAATCTGATTATATAATTATTAAAATATAATATTAACATATGGAGTATTTTTTTTTATTGATCCTTTTGTTAACATTTTCTAATTCTTATGATTTATTAATCATTTATATCAAATATATTTAAATAATAAACTTATATTACCAAATAACTTTAACAATTCTTTAAAAGTTTCTGATTTAGCACTATAATTCATATATTCAAATATTCTTTGAATTTAGAAATAATTCATTCTGTAATTAATAACGCATATATAATATAACGAAAATTAAACTAAAAAAGAATAGATTACTAAATTAAAAAATATACTCAGAAATTTTATGTTCTCTAAGAGAATTTAAGTGTTAATATATTACATGAAACATATTTTGATAAATACTAATGATTGACGTTTAAGTTTATCATTTTTTCTAATAAGTAAGAGATTTATTATGTAACAAATGTGATGAATGAGATTTCTATGATAAAATCTTGTTAACATTACAGGATTAATAATTCGTCACTTTTTGTATATAAAAGGAAGCAAAAATGTATGATTTTTTTCATTATATTTAAAAAAATATTTTCTGTCAATAGAAATGAGTGTTGCATCTAATTCTAAGGATGAAAATGAATTCAAAGAGACTCCTATTGAAGTATTATTTTATTTCTAATATGAAATAGACAAAGTTCACATGGACAGCTAAGTGTATAGAAAAACTGAAAGAGCTTCATGTATTATAACAAGGGAACTGGAAATCAATCAGTTCGTTACTAAATGGACCAACACCATTAGAATGTATGTTTAAATGGCAACAACTCCATCCAGATTCAGTAATTACTTTTTCATTATCTAGGCACCTTCCAGATAACTATGGTCACCAGAAGAGGATGAATAGTTGAAAGAATTAGTCTAAAAATTTGGTAAAAAATGGAGTAAGATCTGTACAGTAATGAATTGGAGAACAGGAAAATAAGTTAGAGAGCGTTATTTGAACTAGCTTTAAGGAACAATTAATTAAGACAAATGGACTGAAGAGGAAGATAAATTGATATTAAAATTATATAAGAAGTTTGGAACTAAATGGAGCTATATTTCAAGTTTTTTGAATGGAAGACCTGTATATTTCTATTTATATATACTTAGGAAAATATGGTCAAAAATCGTTTCTATGCCAACCTTAAAAGGAGATATTAATGCGATTTAGGTGATTCAGATGATGAAGATTTCTAAGAAGATTCCATAAATTCCTCAGATGAAGAAAAAAGTAAATTATAGAAAAGAAGAAGACCTTAGAAAAGTAGGAAAGAGCCATAAAGAATTAAAAAAGTATTAATATCAGATGAAAATGCTGAAAATTTCTAAAGAATGACTAGATCAAAAAATCAAAAATAAAATGATGATAGTTAAAAGTAGGATAGTCCAAATGAAGATTAAAATAATGAACATAATTCAGGTATTAATTATATTCATCTTAGGATTATAACATATTCAAAGCTCCCCAAGTTATTGTACTCATTAAGGAAATTAAATTAATATAAAGGAAGAAAATTAATTAAAATGTGATCATTTTAATAATAATCCTTCTATTATTTAATAAGCCATTCCATAAATTAATATATTCCCCTCAGCTATATCTCCACTTGTATTTAACAATTAATTTGTACAATCATAATAGACTCCTCTCACATTTCCATAAAATAATATA